AAATATTCGCATTCTTTGATTATACGTTTTAATTAAATTACTGGGAAAATAATCAAATATCAACAATATCATTGAAAACATTAGACCCCATTGCTAAGAAGAGCCTACAATAATAAAGAAAGAAGCAATAATAAAGTATCAAAGCAAACAGTGAATCTCAGTCTCCTCTGTTTGTCCTTCACCCACACATTCCCCTGCTCCCCAGGCCTGCTCTGTGATTGTTGGTCCTTCTCTTTACTCAAGCTGCAAACTCTTTGGGAAGAAGCTCAGCGTTTGCTCTGAAAAAAACCTCACCACAACAGCCCAGCTTACCCAAAATACAATGACTGAATGAAATCACTCTCAGTGAATGGCCTTTAAATCAGAATCCATGCAGGAAATAAAAACTGTGGCATTCCATTCCAATAAAGTTGTCAAGACAAATAGTGATTTGAATCTGTTTTATAGCTAATATAGCTAATATTTTACTAAATTGATAAAAATTTGTGCTTCAGTTTAAAACATTTTATTTTAAACCTGAGAAGGCAAAACCAAACCAAACCAAAAAACAACTACCAAACTAAATGCCTTAGAAACTGAAGAGAAGCAGGCCACCTTTAGAAGTAATTAATAAATTAATAAACTAGACACAAAGTAAACTTCAGCAGTGAAAATGACAACTGTATTTCAAGCATACACTGAATAATCTAGTTAAATGCTTGAGTTCATCTACCTGTGCTGTTAAAACTCAGAAAGCGTTTCCTTCCAAAGTGTTCATTAATTGCATAGCAGCAATGCAAGATCCATGCAGAAAATACATGAGTAGAATCACAGAATCATAGAATCATAGAATATCCCGAGTTGGAAGGGACCCATAAGGATCATCAAGTCCAGCACCTGTCACCACACAGGTCTGCCCAATAGTTTAGACCATGGGACTAAGGGCACAGTCCAATCACTTTTTAAATCCAGACAGGCTTGGTGCAGTGACTACATCCCTGGGGAGCCTGTTCCAGTGTGTGACCACCCCTTCGGTGAAGAACCTCTTCCTGATGTCTAGCCTAAACTTCCCCTGCCTCAGCTTGACACCATTCCCGTGGGTCCTACCACTGGTGTTTACAGAGAACAGGTCACCTGCCTCTCCACTCCCCCTCGCGAGAAAGTTGTAGACCACAATGAGGTCCCCCCTCAGCCTCCTCTTTTCCAGGCTGAACAGGCCCAGTGGTTTCTGAATATTTGAGTAATTGATTTTAGGTGAACGATAAACTATTATTGTCACCAAATCTTTTGCAGACATCAGTTTTACACTTATTTTCATTAACCACACAATATAGATGCCTGTAAATTACATGCAAGTGACTACACTGATGCAGTTCTGCCCCCTCCTGTTCGATTCAGCATATGCATGAGATTACAGAGTATCTCAGCACAGCAACAACAAAATAGCCAGATTCAGCATAGACCGGTTCGATGGATGTTGCAGGACACTGAACTGTCCTGCAATAACTTGTCTGGATTCTGACCTGTCACTCATTAAGTATTTATGGATAGAAAAGGATCTTTCTAAACACAAGAGAAACAATCATATCATTGTGCAACAAAAGTAAGCTGCAATTCTATTTTTGCTATTACTTTATTTGCAGAAAGATAAGCATTAATGCTTTATTTTATATTTCCTAAATATATACTTTTATCACTTATTCAGATCTAAGATCTATTCAGATCTCTGTGTAACTTCTATAAATTCTTAGGTCATGAGAAACAGTTTTGGGAGACAACTACATGTTCAGATATCTACTACTTAGGTAGGTTAAAAATTTGAAGTTTAATTTAATCTGTTATGATGAGTTTTGTTGTTCCATTTTTCAGTAATTCTTCATATGTGTACTTGGACAATGTTTCTGCTCAGAATTGTTTAGATACATGATATAACTATACAAATATCACTTTTCATACACCATATTTGAATCTTACTAGTGTCCCCACACATCCCACTGTGATACTATGAACACTGAACTCCATTGACATTCAAATATACTTTGAAGTAAAGAATGTTGTGTCATTGTTATTGCCTAATTTTTAAATGGATAGATTACCCTATGATACTTCCTTTTTGGTCCATTTCACCCATCAATATATTCCCTTCTCCTACAGCTTTCCTATTGAAACAACTAATTGTTTTATGCTTTGATATGATGACCACAAAAGCAGTTTGTGCCTCTATTGATTTGGAGATTCAGCAATTTTAATATCTGCAGCTAAAACAAAAGCTCCCAAAAGAAATGGAAGGGGAAGTCTTCCCCTCCTCAGTTAGGATGATTCTACTGCCTTTGCTGCATGTTTTGTTGAAATAACTCTGTATATTTGACAATAAAGTGTCACTCTTTTTCCCTAACAGAGGTTTGCTCCACTACTTAACAGGGTCACCTTCTGCAATTCCAGTCAGTGCTTCACTGTGTGGTGATTTTACTCAGGTGGAGAGCTGAGCTCCATCACAATCGCTCTCTCACTCCCCTCAAAGAGGAAGGGGGAGAAACTACAACACAGAGAACTCGAGGTTTGAGATGAGAAAGGTTTAATTAAAGGGAAAGGGAATGGGGAGAAAAAGAAACAAAAGAAACAATAAGTCTGCGTGGAAGCACAGAGAGAGGGAAAAAAAAATTAATTATTCTCTACTTCCCATCAACGAGCAATGTTTGGCCACATCCTGGGAAGCAGGGCCTCAAAACGCATAGTGGTTGTTCAGGAGGAACAGCCCCCTAGCCCACAAGAGCCCCCTTTTTATTGCTGAGTGTGACATCAGGTGTTATGGAATATCCCTTTGGTTGGTTTAGGTCAGCTGTCCTGGCGATGTCCCCTCCCCATCACTTGCCCACCCTCAGCCTGCTGGCTCTTGGGGGCTTGTAAGGAGTCCTGATGCTGTGCCAGCACTACGCAGCAATAGACGCAACACTTGAGTGATATCAGTGCTGTTCCAGCTACGAGTGCAGAGCACAGCACTGTGTGGGCTGCTGCAGGGAAAAGGTGACTCCAGCTCAGACAGACCCACCACACACTGTACAAAACCTTTTTAGCACACAAGATGTTTTCTTCCTACTAAACATTTATCTGGTTTTCTTTTGTCATTTCATCTTGCTTCTCTGCCCTCAGCTACTCACTAACTGCTCTGTCCAGAGAAGATCCAGAAACCTCTCCTTGATAGAGTTCTTCATCACTAGATAATATAATTGATGGCTACATAAGTATTTTATTTTTAATTAAAAAAAAAAAAAAACAACAACAAACCCATACACACACACACACAAAAAAAAAAAAAAAAACAAAAAACAAAAAACAAAAAACAAAACACAACTGTTTTAGTCTTACCTGAAGAAAACTTCCCAGAAAAACACTGCTCCTTCCAGCTGTGCTCTCCTATTAAGGGTATATAACACCTCTGATTCACTCACAGAAGATGCAATTCTCTGCACTTAATTTATTGGGAAGAATCCAGGTTTTGACCAGAGATGAGATGTGAAAGTCAGAAAAGGACCTCCAGTCAGTCTTTTGTAAGAAAGACATACAGCATTTTGAGATCTGAAATTTCTAGTCTGATTTTGATGTGTCTACATTGGTATTCTCTGGCAAGTAGGCATGCTACTTATTTCCATTTTTCATATCTTTATAAATGAACAATAGTATACATACTAATAAGTAATGCTTGCTTGTGACTACTTGATTACAGGATAGGTCTAAACCTGAACTGTTTGGTTTAAATACACTGCCTTCCAAATCTATTTCAAATTTAAATCAATATTAAAAAGGAAAGAAAAAAGACCCTCTGGGTTCTTGAACAGAAACTCATCATTACAAAAAATATGACATAGTTGTAATGGTTGCAAAAGACAAGTGCTTTCTGAGTTACTTAAAATTAACTTTTGAAGTCTATATTGTAGTGTTAAAAACAATAGTTTAATTTATATATAGTTTAATTTGATAATTCTGTGCTTCTTACAGCAAAAAAGATATAATCGCTCTGCCTTTGGGGGTTAACAGAACCATTGTGACTGACTACTAGTAACCATGGAAATATAGAGCTAGTTAGAGACCAACATCAAACTAACAGAGGTGTTGAGAGACAGAAAATTAGACTTAGAATATGATTATAGTTATGGAGATTATGCAACTGATGTGACATCTGACTTATCTTGGATTAGCATCATCGAGAATGTTTTCTTGTCATCTGGAGAAAGCCCCCAGCTTAAACAGACACAGAAATATTTAAGACAAACAATCAATGATTATTTATTGGCCAAACTATTTGCCTTGTAATGATAAGGCATGCGTGTATTTAACTGCTTTCTCAGTGACAGGCCAATAGCCAAACCCACAAAACATTGTTTATGCAGCCACAATTACAGTCCTTAAACATAGACATCCTTTAAAAGAGACACCTTGGAAAAAAGGAAAATATATCTTCTTTGCTGTAATAAGGAAACTATGCCCAACAGCAGTAGATTTTTTTTTTCCCCAGTAATACGTTTGGTTAAATGCTGTGGTTCAAAAAAGCCAAAACGTGTCTGCATGATCAGTGCTAACCTTACCCAAAGTGACCAAACAGATACTCTCTCACTCTCAAAACCTTAACACCATTAGACAAACTGATACAAACCCCTCCTTCCTTGCTTTTCTTCTTCACTTTTAACTATTAGAACTCTCTTTCAGTTCTCTGTTGCGAAGCACGGCCGAAAGCACGACAGACACCAGCAGAGTCAGATCATGCTTCACCATTTTATTGCCCGAATAGCCCAACTTTTGTAGTGAACTTTACAGGGGTGGACAGTGTTTCACACAAGGTTATTGGTCAAAAGCACTCAGACAAACTGTTACGAAAATAACTCCACCTGCAAGAAAAGAACCCCCCTTTTGATTAGAAGTTAGGAAAACAACCCCCTTTGTGCTTAACGGTCACGTAGACCTAGTCCTTGAGGCCAGCTGCTGATAACAATATTTTCTGAGTTCCTTAATTGGGTGATGTGGGAGTCATTGCCATGGGAGCTTCTCACAGTTACTCTGGCAGCTTGGTTTGCTCAGCTACATCAGGCCCTGAGATTTCTAAGGCCAACCCCTGGTTGCTTATGTCCACGTCCTGTATGCCAATTCCCAACAGTTCTCCTCCTGGCTTCAGGAAGGCCAAAATCACTTCCAAAGCAGAAATATTTCTCCTGAAGCACAGTAAATTTCATGCCTAGATGATCCAAATGGCAATACCACATTTCTTAAAGTGGGCTCAGCAGAGACTTGTATATAGGCTTTAAAATCATGCAGTGGAGGCATGTGGATCCACAAGGCTTAACAGCCTTAAGGAAAACCTTTTTTGCCCTTAATTTTCTGTAGGTCCTTAGGATTCTTTATAAGATGTAAGATATGTCATCTTTACTTTCTCAGGGACAAGAAAAGAATGATTGACTGATTTCGCAGGCTTTTATGATAAACATTATTTTCATGTCTTCTTTGTCCATTTGCCTTTCTGTTTTCTACAGAATAAACACATAGACCTTTAGGTCAATGAATATATTGCAGATTTCTGTTGGCATGACTATAATGACCAGGGCTGTAAATAGTTGAAATATCATTTCAATACAATTCTACTTGGAAAAAAAAAAAAAAAAAAAAAAAAAGTGCTTTAGACAAGAGGCTGGGAGTCCCAGACAAAACATGTTATGATTGGGACCAACTGTGTGCCAAAACCAAAGAGATGGATGGTGTTACCTGAATTAATGAAATACACTTTTCCTGAGAAACAGGGAATGACCTGCTGCTTCACCATACAACCATCTGTTTTCCCCATTTACCATCATTTTAAATTTAGGAATGAAAATGAAGATACTGCTTGGACAATGCTTTCTAGCAACTTCTTGTTCATCTTGCTTAAATCTTCAGTTTTGGAGCAAACGTTTAGTTAAGGGTACATTTAAACTACATTAACTATTTTGAATTTCATTATTATGTCTATTGAAATCTCCAAAGTCTATACATAAACTGTTACATTTTAATGAGGAAACAGGATAAAATCTGAAGAAATCCCATTGTTACATTCTTCAAATGAGTTCTACAAATAAAATCCTATGCACTATAGGCTTTCAATAAAATAGTGTTTTCTAAGTGCCTAAATTATTTTTGAAATTGGAAAGGTTTCTATGCTGTTTAAACATTTTCAAAAATACTGACTCTGTCTATTTTGCTGGTGTCTGGCATACTAGAACCCACTCCTAATGAGAGTTACTACTGCACTATACTAATTACTGTAATACTAGTAATATCTCAGAAATATTACACAAAAATATGGTTTATTACAAAATCCAAATGGACTCCACAGGGTTTCATAAGACATAATTTATAGCAGAATGCATTTCTAGTATTCCAACTGAATATTGGCTGCAGTTCATATTTCCATTTTGTGTGTGATGAAAGGTATTTTGAGTAGTATTTGGGAGCTCACTAATTCAATATTCATGAGAAATACCAAGTGCAATATGCAGAAATGTTTGCAGAGACGCTAAAATATGGAAGTCCGTTTTTTTCATTAGTGGCAGAAATTTTACATCAGCTAATTAATATAATTTCTGATTATCTTAAATGTTTATTTGTGGCACTTTAGCCTTTTATCCTCTGAACTTCAAGCTGACATCTAATACCACAAGGAAAAACCAATATCATGAAAAAAGAATTAGGTGTACCACAAAAGAACCATGGCAAAAAAAAAAAAAAAGAAGAAAAAAAAAAAAAAGGCATGACAATGATTTGTATTTTTATCCTGTATTTTAGTGGAGAACCTAAAGAGACTAAAAATATTTTAAAAGATGCTTTGAATCAATACCCAAAGTAAAATAATATTATCCACATTTAATTAAAAATAAACAAAAGGTCAAAGACCCAGATCTAGAAATGCTTAAGTAAATAATTCACTTTAAAAAAAATGAGGATTTAGTCTGAAGTAATTTCATGAGTCTGTGGTAGATCTCTTATACTCTCCTTCTGTGAGATTGTTCTGTAACTTTTAGCATGGATAATGAATATTTTCTCAGTAAATAGGAATGTACTACTAAATCATAAAAAGAGTGCATTGACAAGCTAGGAACACTGGCAATATTTAAGCCCTTTTGTGGACTGCATTTCATTATTCACTAATAACTTGATCTGCATACTTACAGGTACTGTGAAAAATAGCTTTGCATCCAGTTCACACATATAAACCTGGAAAATAAAAACAAACACAGAAGAACGTTTTCTTTTTTCATTCAAATACCTGATCCAAAGATCACTTAAGAGAGTCTATCAAATGACTTAATGAAATGTAGATCAGATCTGTAAAAAGCAGATATTCAATTCATGATTTTGGCAAAGTGTATGCTGTCATGAGTATATTTATCCACCCTTACTAATCATTTCATGCTTGGCATTTATAGATGCAGTATATACTCCGTTATTTTTTTCAGAAAGATTCTGAAGTTATGTAACCAACTGCTGATATTAAAGCACAAACAATATTTTAGGGAATAGTCACTAAAACTGAAGTAAAACTGCTGAAACTTTACTTAGAGCAGTTATACTGTATTTAAATAAAATTATACTATGGATGTTGTAGGTCGTATTTATGACAGGCGTAGCATTTTCCAAGACAAAATTAAAAGAGTTATGTACGAAAAACTGTATGCTACTTTATACCATCAACATAATTAAGTGTGACACAACGTAAGTATTATGGGAGCAAACCCAAGGAAATTCAAAATAATTGGCTTCCCTAATCTACAACTTGCAACTTGAAGTTTCAATTAATTAAAAGATCAAGTTGAAAATAACAGTACAAAAGCAAATACCTAAAATAATTATTCTCCAAAAAGAAAAGTGAGAGAATACTTTTAGGACAGAATTTCTCTTCGTAAGAGGAAGAATTCTATGTACCTTACCAACTTTGACACAGAGGCAGGCTCATCTTGGTTCAGCTCTCTGACCCAGATGACCTGCAGTAGGAGTACATGCATGTGAAGAAATCTCCATATAGGATTTTATTTTGTTGGGTGTTGCAAGTTGGCCTGTCATTAAGTTGTTAGAGTCCCCTGTAATCTCATGCGTTACTTCTTAATCTCTGGTCCAAGCACCAGTCTGTAGGATACCTGAAAATGATGCAAACCTATAAAATACATATAGACATCTTCCCACACATTGAAGCAAAGAAATGGAAGTAATAAAAGTCATAAATGAATATGCAGAGTACCCCAAATTTCATTAGTTTCAAATTTTGTACAAGGGTCCAAAGCGTGCCATAGCCAGGCAGTACCCGTATTTTATTCTTCTCATCAATCTTTTTCCGAAGCATCTTTGGGAACAGGTATCTTCAGCCTCTGTCATCACTGCTTGCCATTTTTTTAGAGATGATTGGAATTTAACATACAGAAAGACTTACTTCCATCTATATGAATGGATAGATGAAGTTCTAGAATTTTATGGGAATTTGCAAGCTACTTCTGCAATTGCTAGATTCTGGAATTAGGTTACAGTCTGGCATCCATTTCATATTTATGCAATGTAAATATTTCTAAGTAGATCAAAATGATCTATGTAAATTGTTTTTGTATATAATTAACATATACAGTGTTCTCTGTTATTTGTGCTAGTCACTGGAATTTAGCCCCAACATACGTTACTATGGATTCATTTTTGTTGCCTTTTTCAGGCAATGAAATGTCACATCAATTTTATGGCATATGTTGTGTATATAGATATACAGATCACATCATAGCAAAATATTACTAAGGACTAATGTTAATGCTGATGATACGCTGACCTTTATTTTAACATCAAATGGAGAGGAAATATATGTGAGAAAAGACAACACACCAAGATGGAATATGAGTGACTGAACACAACTGTGAGAAGAGATATTACAGGATTATGTTGAGTATCCTTTAGATTATAAAGATGCCAGCTACTGTGCAATTCTAATGTGCCAGCTGCTGTCCAAATAGATCACAAAACGAAAGTCCCTATGTCGAGCAAGGCTTAAAATAGAGCAGCTGATGAGTAAGGTAGTATCTCATATAAACTTCACATTTCATGCACTAAGACTTTGCGTTGTCATATATTACCAGGGTTTCTATTCTCCATGAAAAATCTGAAGCAGAACAGAGGTAACAAATTGCTTGATTTTTCAGCCTTTAAAATGCAGTTGTTGTTTTCATGCCACACTCAGAAACTCCCTCCTAGTCTGCTTTGTGATTCATGTGTTTGGCTTAGTAACTCCTGGAAATCAGAACAAGAGAGAAACCTTCCCAAAGTACTTCCTGTCTCTCTACATAAACTAATAACAAGATGGAGTCCTCCCAGCTTTCCAATTTACAGCACACCAGGCACACCTACGGCTGAAATACCAGTAAGACTCAGAAAGTGCCTTGTTCTGGTTTTAAAATAGCATATATCTTCTGTGGCAACAAAAAAGTTGTTTCTCTAACATTGTTATGTAGCAATGTAATATGAATAGACTACTTAATTAACATAATCTGTAGATAATGGAGGGATCAAAGATCACAGTGAACGTAAAGGCTGCATTGTTTTTTGCTTTAAAAGACAGTTCCTAGGCTACAACTTATCCCTACTCTCTCTGAAAGCACATTACCTTAAAACACAGTCAGGAATACAAACACTTGTAATGCTGAGGGGAAGTAACAACCTGTGACATGCTTAACCTCAGAGGCCTTACTCCAAGTGCCTAATGGAATCTGTGAAATCAACGGTGAGTTCTGACTTTTAGAATTAAGAATTAAGAATGTCAGAATAAAGTCCAGTACATGTACAAGATCAAAGGCTAAGAATAATCACTCTCTCATTGTCACCTTACAACCTGTCAATATGGAAATCCTAAAGGAATGGAGTCAGATTCCACCATCTTCTAATAAAACCATGGATTGTTATGTGCTCTGCTTTTATTGGCTTTCTAAGCACTAAGTGAAAATAGAACCAAGCCCCTAGTCTTTAAGTATTTCACTGCTTCTTTTTAGAATAGGTGTTACAAGTTTTCCTTGAATCTGGAAAATAGCTAAAACCTTTTGTGTAAGCGATATGAGAAAATAAGCAGAGTTGCTGAGTGGATTACCAAACTCTTTAGAAGGCTGTCAATGAGGCACTCCACTTATAATTGTGGCTTTGCATCTGACTTCGTGTATGGGTGTAACCCCGGCCGACTCATTTAATGCCTAGGTCTGTTTACCCTATCTGTAAAAGGGGGGTTATTATATACACTTAACTAATACAGTCCGTGACTATTAATTAGTTAAAAAAAAAAAAGGAAGACTTCAAATATTTTAATGACATTTACAATTCTAGCTATCCCATTCTCTTCAACTGGTTTTGCTTATTTATCCTTTAAAACCATCAAGTCAAGGTTCATTTAAGTTTCCTATGATCATCAGGAAGATTTCTTGTTGCTTTTTTTCTCATTAATTCTTATCCTCATTTCAAGTCAAAGCTGTGTATGTACTGCCTTGCTGTCTCTACTCTGTGAAATTTAGCTTACAGATTCAACGAATCTGCTATTCTTGAACAAAACTTTATTCCAAGTACAAATGAAGGTTTACTCTACCACAGTGGAGTGCTGCTACTGTCTGAAATGCAGCAACTAATGCCTAACATTTTTTCCAGTATTCCAAGACAAAGATTATCTTTCTCATACCACTGTTCAAGCAAAGCTGACACCACTCTTGTAAGGATGCAAGAAGTATGAAGAAAAAAAAAGCCATAAAAGTTATAGCTTTCCTTAGGAGTATGAAATAAACAGATTAGTTTTATTCAAAGATGCAGCTGCCAAGGGACCATAAAACAACTGTAACATCCTCTCCCATGAAAAGAAAGTAAAATGCCATCCTGGGTCTTAATGCATTCAATGCATGATGAAATGCTGCCAGAAATTTCAAGAGTGTCTTTGGTTTAATTTTCTATCAACAAAATAGCTGCTGCTAGATTTATTTATTTATTTTTTATTTTGTAAGAATCTTACACAAGCTACCTCTAGATTTTTGCACAATTTGTAAAAGAGAGAAAGGAATATGGTATTGAATTAAAATTACTACAAGAATGATTATTTTATTTATCAACAAAAACGGTAAATAAAACTTTAGTAAATATTTAAATAACATTTCAGAAAAAAAAAAAAAAAGGAAAGAAAAACTATGAAGAAAAGTCCTTGATGGAAAAGAAAAAAAATGTTATTTGAAAAGGCTGTCTTTCTATAGCCTTTAAGATCTTTAATTTAGAATATTTAATTCACTAAAATGTTTTAAACATATTTAAAATTTGCTCTCTCTCTTTCACTTCTGACATTCCCATCCTCTGAAATACTAATTAAATTCTGTGTATTTTTAATGAAGTAAAAGCTCTGAAAGTGTTTTGATCACCCTTAAGTTTGAATCCAGATAAAGACACAAATTATTCTTCCTGAGCCATCCATAAAGACTGAACAAGTATTGCAGAGAAGTATTCAGAATTTCTTAACACTCTGGCCTTAACCTAATTTTCCTTATTAAATCCTTCTTCCTGTTCCTGTTATGCTGCCAGATATTGAATTGCCAACTCTTGTGAGTTCCTATTGAGTCTCAGAATATTAATTGGTGTTCTTAGAAACCCTGGGGCTGAAATCTATGGATTTTATCAGAACTTTTTTTTTTTTTCCTAAAATAAGTTTCTACCTTCTGAAATGATTGTAAGGATGAAGAATTGTTTTTAAAAGTACAAAAGGAAGCAGACACATGGAAATGTCAACATTTATTGCATTATATTTAGTTTTATGAGTTTTAATGCTTAAGTGTGGAAATATTGTGGTAGGAGAAAGTATACACTCTTCAAATTGGTAAGTGTTTCCACAAACAAAAGCATAAAAAAATAATATTTGCCTAGCTCGTGTGTTGTAATTTCTCAAGAATTTGAAGAACCATGAAAGGAATGAATAAACAATAGCACACTGAGACAAAACTTTTGTTTTACGTATGTTTGAGCCAACAACACATGAACTGTGACAGACTATAATAAATAGAACATCACTGTGACTTTTTTGGTTTTTTTTTGCACCAGTATGCAAACAGCACCAAGCTTATAAGTGGGTTGAAGCATGTCACGAGCTTTTGTGCAACATGGTGACAAATATGAGTCTTTCTGGGTTTTGTAACATAGAGACAGAACAAGAAGTTCAGATATTCTAGTCTTGCAAACTTTCTATAAGCTATAGATACTCCTACTGCAGGTAAGATTATAACTTGTATGTCACAGTAAATTTCCAAGATTCATATTGAGGAAGAGATTTGACAGAAGGGTAATACAGGGAAGTTAATATTGCATATCAGAAAATCTATAAACAAAAAGCAGGTGTTTAAAATGTACAGCAGCTGGATTCTTGGACATATTTTGGAAGACATTAAAAAATAAACATGTAAAATAATATCAACAAACTATATTAAAAACACCCATGCTCCGAAGACTCAGAGATGTGTCTCCCTGTATCTCTTAACTGGTGCCACAAACCATGCTTCAGAGAAAAGACAACTAAAACATCAAAGAAATAATTTGGCTGGTTACTACCAAAGCAAAGCAGACTCCTTTCTGAGCATGTAAGTGGATATCTAGAACAAAATGAATGAAAAATTGCAGACTCTAAAGTGAACCACCTGATACATAGCCTCATTACACCTTAGGTAGGCTGTATTTGATGAAGAACATACCCCCTACTCTTGATACAAAGTCATAAATCTAAGTGTAGGAAAGTGGCTACTGTACTTACTATTCAACCGTGAATGGAGTACAGAAAAGCAATAGGTTGGAACACAGGCTAGTTGTTCCTATTGATAATCACAATTTTCAGTAAAATCACCACATAACAGATGTTCCTCCTGTTTCTACATCATAAAATGAAGCCAGGTATGAGTCCAAATTCTTGATGTGTAAGTATGGTGCAGCCATTCACGCTTACATAGCTAAGGAGGCTGCTACATTTCTGATTAAAGAGTAATTTACTACCTTCTCTAAAACCTGAACAAATTCTGAAGATTAGGTCAGGATTGACTGGATGAGGAAATGCTTCTGCTATTGAAACAGAAGCACGTGTGCACACAACAGAGCTGGTCTCCCTAGCAGGTTCCACAATTTGCAGTATCATCTGTTTCAAGTGCCTCTTCAAGAATTACCCTTTAAGTAAAAAATACCCTCCCTGTGCTCAAGTTTTACCCCTTCTATCTGCTTTTTGTGTTTATAAACATGTGGTATAAGGGTGATGCAAACTCTTTCCTGGTGATAGTAGTGGAACTTAGATCTCATTAAGCTTCAAATTGTGATTTCTTAGCTCTTCAGTGATAAACTCCGCACCCTTAAAATGTTAAAGGTGTAACAGCTCTCTATAAAATGCCTTATTGACTTATAGATATAAATTCCCTGCACTATTGGTATAAATCATCATATGCTGAAAACCAGAATCTGATTAACCAGATGCTCTTATTTCCTTCAATATCTCACGAATAGAAACTACAGTATAAAAACAATTCAAAACAATCATTTACTGGGAAATATGACATATGGCCTGCCACGTTGCTTTCCTACAGAAATAACTAGAGATCGTTACTCTTGGCATCATTCCCTACAACAGTGACTGGGCTCATTAAAGCAGTTCATATGTGGCTGAATGAATAAGGAAGATTATTTCTGCAGGTGAGTAGAAACAACAATGGAAATACAAAGACTTGTGAGAAATAAGTAGTCAAGGAGATTTCTCCACCTCCCTAACTTCTGTGCGCTAAAGCAAATCAAAGCAGAAAAATGGTTGCTGAAACAAGATGCGTTTTCTTCCTTTGCTTTCATGGTAAACATTTTCATCTGGCTAACGTATTTCATTTACACTGTCCTGCTGGACGGCGGTTCACCGAGCAGGGCTATCCTGACGGGGGCAGGAGGTACGCGTTCAGCATGGGGCTCCTGCGTGCCTGTGTTTAGCCCCAATTAAGTAGAAACCAAACCTTAATCCTGTCCCGGGGGGCGCGCACATTCCGTGACAGTGAGGTGGCACAACCCTTACTGCACTGCGATGCGGTAGTAGCGCAGGCCGAGCTTCTCCAGCGAGGTTTTCTTTATATGCGTACACCCGTACACTTTTTTTTTTTTTTTTTTACGTGTCTACACACCTTTTCTTTACATGTTTACACCTGCAGCGCGGCAGCACAGGCCAGGAAGCCTCAATCACAGTGTGGCACCAGTAACGAGCTGTAGCGACGGTACAACCTCACCGGGACCGTGCTGGCTGTTCCTGCAGCACGCCCCTGCTTCACAGGCTCTCTGAATTCAGGCTGCCAGGAGGCGCTCGGCATTTCGCCGCCCTTGTCCGCCTGCCGCTCACAGCGCAGGACGGCAAGGCAGCGGAGAGGAGGGGAGAAAATGGCGGCGCCAGGGACGAGCGCGAGCCACTCCCGCCGCCCCGCCGGCTCCCCGCGGCCAACGGTACCGACGGCCACGCCGCCTCATCCGGGCCCTCGCGCCTCCGCCCGGGGAGGGGCGGGATCAGCGCGCACAGGCGCCTCGCCGATTGGCTGGCGCTCCGGGAGGGCCCGGCAGGTAGCCGATTGGACGGAGCCGCCGGGGAGCCGCTCGCCCGTTGGCGGTCGGGCGCGTCCGGTGCGGGGCCGGCGGAGGCTGCCATTGGCTGGAAAGTAGGTTAGTGGTGCGCCGCTGGGTGGCGAGCCAGGCGGAAAGTAGGTCACGGACGGGACCGCTGCGCCGAGCGCCGAGCCGAGCCTCGCCGACCGACGGCGGCACCCCCGGCCCGGGCGGGGCGCGGGGCCGGCGGTGAGCCCCGGCGGGCGGGCGGGCGGGGAGCGGCGGCGGCGGAGGCGGCGGGAGGTCCCCCGGCCCAGGAGACGGCGCCCCCCGGAGGGTGAGCGGAGGCCGCCCGGGCAGCCGCCCGCTGCCCCCGCCCCGCCCCGCCCCCTGCCCAGCGGGGTGGGCTGGGCGCGGGGGCTGCGGCCAGGGGGCCGGGGCCAGAACCGGAGCCGGAGGTGGGAGGGGGGGGAGCGAGGCGCGGCCGCTGGCGGTTCTCGGCCCCGGGGGGCATCCCCGGTGGGCGGGGGGAACGCGACGGTGGCTTCCCGAGACCAGGATTTTGCGTGCTTGTTTTTTTTTTTTTTTTTTTGGTCTGGTTGGTTTCTTTGTTTAATTTCCCGGAGAATCCATTTGCCTTCTTAATGGCCGAAGTTTCTGTTACTCCACTGCCTCGGTTGTGACAGCTCTGGAAAGGTTTAGTACTCAAAAATAGCAGCGAGGAAACAAGTGTGTGTGTGTACTTGCTACTGAAGCAAATAGGCTCGAAGGGATTTTTAAGCGTTTGCATGGTGTTGGAGGTAGAAGGGGTCAGCTGCAGATAACCATCATCTTTTAAAATTATTTTTAATCTCTTTATAAACTTGAGTCTAAGTAGAAACTTTTCCAAAACCTTGGCCTTTGAACGTTCAGAGTGAAATGTCATATTAATTTCTTTTCAGTGGGCTAGATAAAGGACCTGCCCTGGACTGCCCGGTCCTCTTTTATCGAAAGGGCTTCTGAAGTGGGAGCAACTGATAACACACAGGCTGCAGCCAGGTTTGTAAGGGGAAAAGGAAGGCTGTTTGTTTGTGTAACTGTTAGTACTAGCTGAATGTCTCAGTGCGTGGTCTGACAGAAGGATCAAGTTAAACTCTGCCTCCAAAAGAATGCACATTTTGTGTGCTCTAGGAATAAGCAGATGTAAACAGTTATTGGAGCCATTAGCAACTGTAGGCCTCTGTCCAAATATTTTAAACCATATTTACGTATTGAGGGGAAAACCTTTACTACTTCTAGGCTTTGTGGGTTTGTACTTCTCATGACCATTCATGATTTTATGTCTATGTGTGAAAACAGACTGTAAAATAGCAACAAAATACTGTGGTTAGAGATTAACACACTGTTTCATCCTGTGTTCTCTTCTTATGCTGTGCATTTCCATTGCCATTTCCATCTGAAGACCGCCTAGGTGAGACAGAAGTACCATTGGAAACTGGGGATAACTGCTTTGGTTTGAGCTTCCCTACAAGGCCCCTCAGGATGGCGCAGGAGTGTCTGTAAACTACCTTAGCTGTAGCTGAGATTCTGCAAAGCCAGAGATGAAAATAGTCCCTCTGCCAAGTCACTGCCACCATCAACTTCCAGGAAACCTGCTGTGCTTGGGGACTGTTGCTAAGGGTATATGTATCAGGAAGGTGGTGTTCGTAGGGAGCCCTTACTGGAGATGTTATTTTTCCTTCCAAATACCTGCTCTCAAAGATTCTTTGGGGAAACCGGCAATAGGAACAAATGAACATTCATCGGATTTCATTGGCAGCGCTTAGTTACACACAGTTCCTTAACGCTATCCAAGACTATGATGACAAAGCTGGGACCTAATGTGATAGCTGCCACCTGTGTGCTGCAGACGAATATGAACGTTTTTAAAAAGCAAATTGCTATCAAGCACACTGGAAATACATAGAAACATGTAGGTTTCTATGTATTGATGAACACAAAAGCATTGTATTAATGCTCAACTTCAATCTTGTTTTCAATACAGAGGCAGTTGTCTGTGCACTAATGCTTTTACAGGAGGTACAGGAAAACCTGAAAGGTTACGTAGTTGTTAGGTCAAGCAAGGTGAATTTAATTTGATGGATTCCATAGTGCCTTTTTTTCTCCTAGTTCTGTAATGTGCACGCTTTTCACTTTTATCATCAGTTTGCCCATAGACAAACTGATGTTATGCACTTCAGCAAACTTCGGAAAGAGGACAGAAATGCAGTAAAAAGCAGCTAGCTATATCTCCAAGTACTAGAAAGTTTAAAGTTCTCTGAAAAGTTAATTTTCTTCAACAGAAAATGTGTAAAATGTAAATGTTTGCATATGTAAATGATTGCAAAGAGAGGCCCAAAATAAATACATATTTTTAAGCTTCCTTGTTCTCAGTAAGTCTATAGAATGCAAAGAATACTCAAGAGTTCTCTTTTTTAATATCTCAAATGTGGTTTGAAACTCACTTTGACTGTTGTCATACTTAGAAAGCTTGGGACCAAAATAATTGGTTTAGATAAATGTAATAAGTGAGATGATGATGAGTGAACTCAGCAGTGACTTTTTCAGTTAGTTATTGAAAACTCTGATCATACTGTAGATGTTAGGGTCTGTGTTTTAGAGGTGCTTGAAGAAGCAAAGAAGGCATTTCATGGTTCTTTCAAGAGAGGTGTACGTTACCTGTGGTGTATGTTTAAGTGAATTTCATACTGAATGAGGTGGATGTCAAGGCGGATAGCTCGCTAGCATGAAGTGCACATGGCACGTGTGGTTTTTACCTCAATTCATTGGAAAACTGCAGTAAGGCTACTTAACCAAGGCCCAGACTTCATCTCCTTGGAAACCTGATCTTTCACCAGATGTTGAGAAATGTAATTTCTTTTCTAATCTGTTCTGCAGATGAATGCAGATCAAAACAGCATTTTCTTGCTTTGATAGTCTGGAATATTTATTAACTAAAAATATAGTCTGACATCTTGGTCTTTGTCCCAAAGAAGATCAATGGTTTCTGTTGCATTCAGTATTGTTTCTAACTTACTTTAGCTGTTAACTAGAATTCCTGTAATGTTTGTGTAATTTAATTCAAGAATGGCTGATAATATTGTCTATGTGTGCGCAGTCCATATTCCCTACCTGTTCTGTGCCTGCAAGGATTCACATTTCTTCTTTATGTTCAGATTATCTTTTCTCCCTTGCAGCTGCAAAAAGATATTTCTTAGCCAAGGCGTGCAGAATTTGTAACCTTTTCAGCCTCCTGCCATTTGAGAAGCAGTTATTCAATGCCTCTGATGTCAGACACACTTCTTGGCCGGCTGCTGGTGTCAGAACAACTTGTGACCCTGAGCTGAAGCCATGCTGTGGTTTTGTAGGTTGGTCTTCTGCAGGAATGGTGCCAGTGGGCTACTTATAGAGCAAGAAATATCACTGGCAGGATTTGGAGTGGTGAAATAGCATGCCACATTTCATGTGGTGCGAGATGCCGATATTCTGTACGAACTGAAAAAGCAGCCCATTCATATAAATGGAAGCAGTTGAGGAAGATGACTGTAGTTTTCATGTTTGTTTTGACAGTATTTTGTTACAAATGTTAGTAGGCTATTATTTTCCACAGATCCAAGGCGATTTAGTGGCACCTTGTATAAAGGAATGAACAAACGTATTGCTAAATTCTTAACGGTCCTGAGTTGGGGTGTCTGTGATGGAAATATATCTCCCAGTGAGCAGTTGCTGTAACACTAGGGAGGACATGTTTGGTGGTTCCTTAGCTGTGTGTATTGCCATCATGTCTCTCAAATCACTTTAATAGGAAGGCATTTTATAGTAAGTCATATATGCTTATGCAGTTGCAGCTGTTTGGCCTAATTTTTGTGCCAGCTGAAAATATGTTCATGGAATCCATGTATTTTAAAGACTGCATGTGGTCCCAGTTCAAGAGTACCCAGAAAACTCTGCAGATAATTTTACCCATTTAGGGCATAGGTTTTGGGGGAGAATGAAATAAAGCTATCAGAGAACTCAGAAATAAGTATTATTCTTGATCTAAAGCATTCTTTGGCTTGGAAACTTCCACCTAGGTGGCTTTGCCTTTTCAAGTTTGTCTAACTTAAGAACAACAAGATCAGAGGGAATTTGGTAGAAATTGGTAAATAATGCTGTACTGCAGAACATTAAAGGATGAAGCGAAGAGGAAAAGTTACATCATAGGAAAAGAAAAGGGAGAAAATAAACCTAACAGACTTTGATTTTAATGACTTTTGAAGATTTTTTTTTCTGTCTTCAGAACTGATTATTTTGTTGTTTCCTTGAACTAGTTTGTTCTTGGATTGCTATGAATGGATTTGTTTTTCTTATATATGGACTTCTAATGGAGCCTTAGGAAATTCAGGACTTCTCTTCCAATCTGAAGCAAAAAATATGTATTAAAAAGTATTAAAATATGTATTAAAAATGTTTATGCTTGAGGTTGCATCTGTGCAATGTGGTTGTCTTGAGAGTGAAGCAGAATGGCTTTGGCTCAAGTTCTACATTTATTTTTGTCCTTTATTCAAGCACCTCTGAGAAGTATTTTAAATCCTTTAAATGAGATCTAGGCTTTATGTTGCAGTTTGGCTGTTGGTATATATTAGTTTTCGTATAACCTTTTAAAGTCCTATTAAGCTAGCTTATAGGCTTGAATGGTTTAACCGTCTTCCAGGAGTAAAATCGGGGAGTCCAAAGTGTATTGCAAAAAAATAAAAAGCCAAGAGATGCTAGTCTTTGAGGTTTATTTTAGAATGTTTTCTGATCTTGACTTGCCATTGTTGGTTTTTTCACGTTGCTGTTTTAGAATTGTTGACTGAGAAACAGGAAGCCTTTCTATTCTTCTGTTGCCTTTCCTAATGTGTCTTGTTGCCAAGCCATTTCATGTAGTCCTTGCATTTGGGTTTATGAAT